ACCGGCAGCGGGAAGAGCTCCTCAGGAAACACCATTCTGGGAAGAACGGAGTTTACAGCTCAGCCGAGTCAAAGATCAGTCACCAAATTGTGCAGAAAAGCCCAAAGTGAAGTGGATGGCCGTCCTGTTGCTGTGGTCGACACTCCTGGTCTATTTAACAATACTCTGACCAATGAACAGGTCACTGAGGAGCTGGCCAAATGCATCAGCCTTCTGGCTCCAGGACCTCATGTGTTCCTGCTGGTGTTATCGATCGGCCGACTCACTTCAGAGGAGAAGGAGACTTTAAAACTCATCAAGAAAGTTTTTGGTAAAAACTCTAAAAAGTTCACCATCATTCTTTTCACCAGAGGAGACGAACTGGAAAAAGACGAGATTACCATTGAAAAATACATTAAAGATTGTGATGAATCATTTAAGAAGCTGATTGCTGACTGTGGAGGAAGATACCATGTGTTTAATAACCGTGACAAACAGAATAACACTCAGGTCAAAGAGCTGATCCAAAAAATCGACACCATGGTGAAAGAAAACGGAGGAAGTTTCTTCACCAACGAGATGCTGCAAGAAGCTGAAGCAGCGATCCAGTAAGAGATGGAGAGAAGAAGAGATGAATAGGCAGATTAAGGAGTTGGAACAAAAACGTGAGGAAGAAAATAAAGAAATGAAGATAAAAATGAAGGACAGAGAGCAGAAATTGAAAAGGAAAGAAAACGGAAAGCTGAACAACTGAAAGAAATGGAAGAAAACATCAACAGGGAACGTGAGCAGAGAAAGAGAGAACAAGAAACAAGAGAACAAGAGGAGAAGAGAAGAAAAGAGGAGGAAGAAGAACAGAAACAGAAGTGGGAACAAGAACGAGAAGCTTTGGAGAAAAAAATCTGCTCAGAATCAGAAGAAAAGGAAGAAATTGACAGAAAACTGGAACAGAGCAGAAAAGAGATGGAAGCTAAACGAGAAGACTGGGAGAGAGAACGGAAAGAGTGGTGGGATAAGAGACATAAAGAAGATGAAGAGAGACGTAAAGAGGAAGAAATGAGGCTGAGAAAGCTTGAAGATGAACTCGAACTGGAGAAAGAAAAATATGAAAAGAAAAGAAAAGAAGATCAAATGAGAAGAGAACAGGATGAGAAAGAAAAACAACTTCTGGAAGAAAAATATAAGAAAGAAATGGAAGACATGAAGAATGAATATGAATTAGAGGCCAGAAAAAAAGCTGAAGAATTCAATGACTTCCAAAAATTTCTGATGGAAAAACACAACGAGGAACTGAAGGATCTGACAGAGAAACATAAAAAAGAAATAAAAACGGCAGAAGAGATACACAAAAGTGACTATAAACTTTTAGAGGACTTCACATCTCTGAAAGAAAAGGGCCTCAAAGACGATGTGGCAGCAAGGGAAGCAAAAGTGAAGGAACTAAATAAGTTGAAAAAAAGGCAGGAGGAAGAACTGAAGAAGTTAAAAGAGAAATGGGTGGTGAATTACTGCACCACCAGCTGATGATCCTCTGAGTTTCTCCTTCATGTTCCAACCTAAACATGATTTAAACCAGCAGAGTTCAGACACCAAATCAAGCTCCTGAGTTCACACCAGATGGTCTGAAACACTTTGATAAATTTACATTACTTATTTTTATTTTCTTCTGTTCTTTGCCTGTTTAAAACAAATCTTTTGGAGGATAAAACATGTAATTCAGGTGAAACCATAATAATACGTAAAAGACTTTATTTATCTTTTTTTTTAAATTGATTTTTCTTATGGGCAGTGGAGCAAATGGGAAACTTTGACAAGTTGATCAAAACATTTTTGTTCATAGAACATTATAAAAACAAGATGTTTAAGTGCCGATGTGGAAAGAAGATTGAATACTTTGTGCCTTTGTATCTATCTCCATTTAAGTTGGTGTTTGTTTGTTTCCTACTGGTTATTTTGTTGTGTTCATGAAATGAGAATATTAAATTCTAATCATCCAACTGTTTATTCCCTTATGAGCCTGTCCTGGTTCTCCTGGGACTCGAACCCAGGACCCTCTTGCCTTGAGGTGATGGCAGTAATCACCACACCACCCTGTCACCCGCAACTATAGTAAAAAAGTTACAATTCTAAAATGATGCAAATCTTACTCTATGTTCATGCATTTTTTTATGCAATAAAATTACTTTAATGCCCTTTTACACTTTCAGATTTGTGTGGGATAACATTTTGAGTGTATTTATAAATGGATAAAAAAGATAAATATGTGTGATAAAATAGTCAAAATAAACTCAGCATACATTTACCAGGAATTAGGATTTAAAGTATTTTTCTAGTTGTAAAATTTTCTTTTCAAAAGATCCTCAATTAAGAGTTAATTTGAATTAGTGGTCCTCACAATGTAGGAAAAACAAACATGCCATCAGACAAAAACACAAACGCATGTTGATAATAAATGGTTTTTAAGAAGTAAATACACTCAGATTTGGATGCTTTGATGATTTTAAAATGCAAACATTATGACTATCATTTTTTTCCATGGTTCATATGGTTTTATGGACTTGTGTGAATGATCACTCACATTTACAACAAGAAAATTCAGTTTTTGGCCCCTCCCACCACCCGTGGGAGGGGCCAAAGGGGTCGGGTGCGCTGTGCCCTGGGCGGCGGCTGGAGTCGGGGATCTTGGCGGACTGATCCCCGGCTGCAGAAGCTGGCTCTAGAGACGTGGAACGTCACCTCTCTGGCGGGGAAGGAGCCTGAGCTGGTGTGCGAGGCGGAGAGATTCCGGCTGGACGTAGTCGGTCTCGCCTCGACACACAGCTCTGGCTCTGGAACCAGAGAGGGGGTTGGACGCTCTGCTACTCTGGAGTTGCCCCCGGTGAGAGGCGCCTAGCAGGAGTGGGCATACTTATTGCCCCCCATCTCGGTGCCTGTACGTTGGGGTTTACCCCAGTGAGCGAGAGGGTAGCATCCCTTCGCCTTCGGGTGGGGGGACGGGTCCTGACTGTCGTTTGAGTCCGAGTGGGCCGTGTTCCGCGCCTCCATCAATGACGCGGCCTCCCGGAGCTGTGGTCGCAGGGCTGTCGGTGCCTGTCATGGCGGCAACCCTCGAACCCGCTGGTGGACACCGGCGGTGAGGGATGCCGTCAGGCTGAAGAAGGAGTCCTATCGGGCCTTTTTGGCCTGTGGGACTCCGGAGGCAGCCGATGGGTACCGGCAGTCCAAGCGACATGCGGCTCGGGTGGTCGCCGAGGCAAAAACTCGGGCATGGGAGGAGTTTGGGGAGGCCATGGAAAAAGACTTCCGCATGGCCTCGAGGCGATTCTGGTCCACCATCCGGCGTCTCAGGGGGGGGAAGCAGTTCCCCACCAACACTGTTTACAGTGGGGATGGGGTGCTGTTGACCTCAACTCGTGACGTTGTGGGTCGGTGGGCGGAGTACTTCGAGGACCTCCTCAATCCCACTGGCGCGTCCTCCGTTGGAGGGGCAGAGCCTGGGGATCCGGAGTTTGGATCTCTAATCTCCGGGGCTGAAGTCACCGAGGTAGTCAAAAAGCTCCGCGGTGGCAAGGCTCCGGGGGTGGATGAGATCCGGCCGGAGTTCCTTAAGGCTCTTGATGTTGTGGGGCTGCGTTGGCTAACGCGACTCTGCAACATCGCGTGGACATCAGGGGCAGTCCCGCTGGATTGGCAGACTGGGGTGGTGGTCCCCCTATTTAAAAAGGGGGACCGAAGGGTGTGTTCCAACTACAGGGGGATCACACTCTTAAGCCTCCCTGGGAAGGTCTATTCAGCGGTTCTGGAGAGGAGGGTCCGTCGGATAGTCGAGCCTCGGATCGAGGAGGAACAGTGTGGTTTTCGTCCTGGCCGTGGAACGCTGGACCAGCTCTATACCCTCAGCGGGGTCCTAGAGGGTGCATAGGAGTTCGCTCAACCAGTCCACATGTGTTTTGTGGACTTGGAGAAGGCGTTCGACCGTGTCCCTCGGGGTATCCTGTGGGGGGTGCTCCGGGAGTATGGGGTACCTGGCCCTTTACTACGGGCTGTTCGGTCCCTGTACGACCGGGGTCAGAGTTTGGTTCGCATTGCCGGTAGTAAGTCGGATCCGTTTCCGGTGGGAGATGGACTCCGCCAAGGTTGCCCTATGTCTCCGGTCCTGTTCATAACTTTTATGGACAGGATTTCTAGGCGCAGCCGAGGTGTTGAGGGTGTCAGTCTTGGTGGCCTTAGGGTCGCATCTCTGCTGTTTGCAGATGATGTGGACCTGTTGGCTCCATCAAGTCGGGACCTACAGCTCTCACTGGAGCGGTTCGCAGCCGAGTGCGAAGCGGCTGGGATGAGGATCAGTTCCTCCAAGTCCGAGACCATGGTCTCTCACCGGAAAAGGGTAGAGTGCCTTCTCCGAGTCGGAGCGGACGTCCTTCCCCAAGTGGAGGAGTTCAAGTATCACGGGGTCTTGTTCGCGAACGGGGGTAGGGAGCGTGAGATCGATGGGTGGATCGGTGCGGCGTCTGCAGTAATGCGGGCGCTGTACCGGTCTGTCGTGATGAAGAGAGAGCTGAGCCTAAAGGCGAAGCTCTCAATTTATCGGTCGATCTACGTTCCCACTCTCGTCTATGGTCACGAACTTTGGGTAGTGACCGAAAGAACGAGATCGCGGATACAAGCGGCCGAAATGAGTTTCCTCCGCAGGGTGGCTGGGCTCTCCCTTAGAGATAGGGTGAGAAGCTCGGCCATCCGGGAGGGGCTCGGAGTAGAGCCGCTGCTCCTCCACGTGGAGAGGAGCCAGCTGAGGTGGCTCGGGCATCTGATCAGGATGCCTCCTGGTCGCCTCCCTGGGGAGGTGTTCCGGGCTCGTCCCACCGGGAGAAGGCCCAGAGGAAGACCCAGGACCCGCTGGAGGGACTATGTGTCCCGGCTGGCCTGGGAACGCCTCGGGATCCCCCCGGAGGAGCTGGCCGAAGTGGCCGGGGAGAGGGAAGCCTGGGTTTCCCTGCTCCGGCTGCTGCCCCCGCGACCCGACCCCGGATAAGCGGAGGACAATGGATGGATGGATGGATGGATGCTTTGATTATTGATCAATGTTCTGATTATTGAGCAGTGCTCTGATTATTGATCCTCAGCTCTGCTGCATTCAGGTGTGTTCACATAACGTCAAGGAGGAAAGACATCAGAATGATCTGAGAGGAGCTTCTGCTTCAATCTGAAGGTTAAAGGTCATTGAGACTATCTGGATCATCAAAGCTTCGCAGCTTTTCCTCCTGTTTCTGCAGTCATTTCAAGGTTTTGCTTAACTGGCTCACTGTTTTGTTGGACTCTGGACTTTTCAGCTGTTGAATTAGCATACAGATGTTAACCAGGCTGAGCTCCTGTTTCCTTCTAGAGCAGAAACGGGAACTCTTTACAGTTTAAAACCAAAGGAAGTGCCATGGCGATCGGTTTGTTTTCCTCTCTCCAGAAGCTGTTTCCTCCTGCTGGAAATGTGGACCTCAGGCTGTAATCTCCCCTCCTCAGGACGGTGAACACACACCTGATGGAGCGGGTTGAAAAGG